TCTTAGGTAGTTGTGTGACCAATGACGGTAGCGTGGCAAAGTAGATAACCGCCCACATTTCCAAGGTTCGAACAGCGAAAACTTGACTGAAACACCTTTGGCGTAGAAACAATTTTTTGCTACATTTTAAAGGTCGCATATATTGTGCTACCGTTTATTCGGTTTTGCTTTATGGTTGAAATTGCGAATAGAATACATCCATGGAACAGAAGTTTCGATTATCGGTGTTTACGTTGTTTGGCTCGCGTGGCATCTAGTGGACAGGCTAGTAATCTGAAAGTAAACCATCGTATGTTTGGGAGTATGCCTGGGATAAATTTGCTACGGCAATGGATTCACATTGATTCAATTCGCTGGTTAGGACACGTATTGCGTATACCCAGCAGTCGTTTACCGCATTTTTTATTCTTTTGACTGATCCAGATTGGAGGAAGCCACGTGACGAACAACAGATAACGTGTAGACGAGACATGAAGAATAGCACAGAGCAATCGGCTAGGGTAGTTGTCTCTCATCTTTCGGATTGGGGTTCCAAGCACTGTGCCACTGGGTGGTTGGAGACATTGAAGGATGTGGCAGTGAAACGACAAGTGACGTTCTTGTTGTCATCTCTTATCAGGCTAGAATGCTTGAACGGGGCATGTATGAACCGTTGGATTGTCCTAAAGGTGTTTTAATCATTGACGTTTATGTTTTCCCATCACCTAAAAACAGGTACATCTTACGTATTCCCACTAACTTTGTGCGCATTGCGAGTTTGGCATCAGTCTGTTCGCTTCATTATATTTCGCTGTATGGTGATAATGACTCCTGAGGAGCGATCCGAACAAGTCACGTGTATGGTAAGAGAGGATAATTCTAAACGAAAAGCGGTGAACCGGTACAAGACAAGGACGTAACTCAGGTGGGTCAACTGATAGAAAGGGCGATGGATGTCACAAGGAAACTCGTGCGGTTTTGGCCATCCTAAATGAACGGTATGCGTCTGCATGTCCATGCACTGATCTGAGACTGAGCTAAATGAGCCTTCACTTGGTTGTGTAAGAATTCGATAACCAGAACATCAACGGACCCTAACTGAATAATATTCAGAATGGAAAAGAAGAAAAAACGATAAAATGATTATGCGTAACGAAGAGACAACGAAAGTGTCCAGATGTTACCGTTTACAGAAAAAAATGATGACTACTGTCTTCTTTATCAGTAGTCAGCATCTGAGAGCAATGGATCCTTGATGTCACTTTGTGTTTAACTCTGTTCGAGCTAATGTTAATATTATAGTTCGCAAAGTCCAGCAGAGCGAACAAGATTATGCGTCGCAGTTTCGTGGCAATACTCACGATGAACAGGAAAATGGGATCGAGAAGAATCCTTAAATTTCTGATGCAGTGTCATGTGAGTAAACACTGGTTGCTTTTGGCCACCGGCCCTTCAGTCAAATCTGAGTGAACACAATGTGAAAGGACACTATAAGATTCAGTAAAAATATGCGTTCATTGTACTTCCCGGGTGCCATGTTCGATAGTAGAAATTCTTTTGCGAGATTCCATTCGGAACCCGTGGCCCACGAAAGCCTAAGCCGTCACGCGGCGGTTTGTTGTAGATATTCTTTGCTTTTTTCTTTTGCTCTTTTACTTCTTTTTATTGGATACACAGTGGTATAAATTTCAGGAAGGGGGGAAGCGGCCAATCAAAGGGCTGCCGTAGCACACGAGANGGTGGTGTTAGTGGGATTCAAACACACGTCCTTCGGGGTGATAATTTAGTGATGTTACCACCGGTAATCAGGGTGAATTATATACCATTCGTATAACACGATGAGAGTATAATGAGTCTTAAGCTCACAGATAAAGGGGGTCGAAGACTTTCATGCGCAAACGTTGACCGTAGCGATCGTTGTTCCGACAGTGCACACCGAGTTTCTCTCTATAGTCAGCATGATAATCAGCCTGAAACTCAACACACACTGTTAATTTTTCGTCACCGCTTAGTTACTGAGATATGCCACAAGTTATTATCAATTAACCGCGATTAAATAATATATTCCACCAGTCACAGTGAGTGCGCAGTGTTAGGACGGGGCTTAAACAATCCGCTAGGTCGCACACGCCTCCGCGTCAGGCCACACGTTTGCGACGCTCCAGGCAAGCTGAGTCCGGATTGGGTAACTGCAAAACGAGTCAGCCCGTGTTTGTCCGATCGATCAATCGAAACGTCAAGGACGCAATCTGATCGGTGCGTCACTATGGCGTTCTCGTATGCGTGATTGACTTTATATATTTGCGTATGGGACCCGAATAAAAATGCACGCTGTCTCCAGTCCGATTCTATCCACCTTGTTCTTGGGGGTTAAGCATTAGTCAATCGTTACCTCTAGACCGAGCATAACACGCAAGGTCCACGGCATACGACAGGGGGTCCACGCCATCTCCGAACTGCACCGTCTTGAAGCGCTGCAAAGCCTCCTGTAGATCGGCCGGAGTATCGAAAACCCGAGATCAAGGCATTCTCCGCGGCGGCCCACTCCATTTTCACTAGGCCTCTTCACTGCGCCTCGGAGGGCCGTCAACTTACTCCGGTTCGTCCGTATCTCCACCAGCTCCAGCACGGGATAATGAATGGAACAGACGATAGTGATCATTGTTCAACAAAGTAATTCGATCTAGGTCTTATGCATTTTTGACCGTTGTGAGAAACCGCCGATCACATTCTTTTGCGTCATCCAACCAAGCTACTCACAAATGTAAGGAGGACCTCACAACAGTAGTACAGCATGTAGTTCTTTCATTCCTGTGGTCTAGTGATGTGAGCTGTCCGTCTAGCAATGTCATGCTCATGTTTCCATTCCACTGACAAGTTGTCAGTGTTGTGGTTGTTTGCTTTACCAGGTGCTTGCCAAAATCGCTTGTCGTCATCATGTGCATCCCTACGACGAGTACAGTCTGTGATTCCACTTTTCGTGAATGCGGCTGCTCCATTTCTCAATGTGGATGTGGCAGTGCAAGAACCACTTTTATAGGAACGCTTCTAAACTAACCTACCACAACTAGGTTGGTTCGGTCTAACCTTAATTAATGAATGCCCGAATCTTGGCATATTACAGCTTAGATGAGCACACTGCTATAGTTGAACAGCGGTGGTAATCGTTAGCACGCTGACACCCGGAAGTTATTCTGTCATCGCAGCTTGAGAGATCACAACTACAGATCCATTTCGGATAGCTCATGCTTTTAGGAATTCGGCAAATGCTTAATACCTCCAANAACGTGATTGACGGAAGGAAAACAAATGGTTTCCGATGTGAAGAGAATGTACTAATTGCCAATAAGACAGTGACGTTCACTCGTGCAAAGAAACTACGCGCTTTGATAAGCTTGCATACCTGTTCCGTAACGTGTTGATCTGCTGTTTGCTTGCTTGTTCATTTGATAACGGTTTCATTGATTGGATATGAAAAGAAAACTTGATATCGCCAACTCAGATATGATATGTAAGGCATAACTACATGCTTATGGGTAGAAAGCTAATTTTCACCCAGTTGCCAGCCAGAAACATATGCTACAAACAATTGTCAAAATCGACGAGTTTTTTTGTACAATTTCACTGCAACGGTCGTTAATCAAACTCTTTGCTGGTGCATGTCATCGATAGTAAGTAACATCATGTTACGGATAGTTGCATGTTTCAGTGAGATCGCTCGGAGCATCATCACCACGGAGGATTTGATTCGTCCGTGTCCCCAATTGATGACATTCGGTGCATACTGAGTCCCAAAATGCGTCTTTCTGACAGATATTTATCAATGACCAATAATGCAAGGTTCATGAATCCTAAAGACTATTCAATCTAGTATCTTCAACGCCAGCCACAACGCCCTCTCGAAACGAAGAGAACCTTATAGACCACGAGTCACTTGATAGTGGAACAGCTCATACGTGTGCCGCGACTTTGATGAACTCCGTACAGAGTTCGAAAGATACGGATGCGTTTTTCGATACTCTAGACTGCACTATACTATCTTGCATTCTTCACGTCAACTTATAATGTCCATAAGTATTCCAGTCGATGAGGAATAAGGTTTATAAGTGGTTATTTGACCTTGTCTATCGTTCACACCGAATAAACGATCGTGCATTACCGCTAGCTGACAGTCTGTTTAAGACAATTTGAAATTTTATCAACCAAATCCTTCACGTGAAACGAATTAATGTCCGAATATCCTACCCTAAATCCACTTTCATCATTGCACTCTTTGATGAAAAGCAAATGAATTCAAAAGGCTTCGATCTCCCCTCAATCGATGTCTCTATTTCATCTGTGAGACTGGGCAATCAAAGAGCATTGCGGTTCTCGTTTTAGGCCCATATTTTATTACCTTTTCCCCCCTAAACTCTCTTGTATGATAAATAAAAGAAGTTGTACGCCCAGAGTCAGGAGGACCCATTGTTCACTGGTGGTATCCGGTAACTGAAGCATATAGAGCCTAACGGGATGGGTGCGGCATCGGGTCGGACCACAGCAAAGCTGTCTACCAGAAAATCTGGGCAACAGTGGCACAATCCGAACCTCGGAGCCTAGGGCCTAAGTACACCAGTGACAGCGATTTAAATCGCCTAGTAGTAGCAGTACTACAACACTTCTTACTGGGGCGGGTGTTTCATGTTCAAGAAGAACATTGTACGCATTGAAGGAAAAACAGGGAGAAACAATGTTATGGTGACAAATAAAAAAATTGAGAAATGCAATATGATTAGCAGAACAACACAAAGCATATAAATAAAAATGGAAGCCCAATGATATACAGTTAATGCAGCGACAGAGAGTGAGAAATAATGGAAAACAACAAGTGAAAAACAAACTCCTGAGATGCGTAAGCAACGATCAGAAACAACAATTTGTGATTGTCCAAGCGATTGAAAAGAAATAGTCCGTAGTTCGAATAGATGAATGAAATCTGATAATCCCGCGAGTTGAATATAACGAGGGGGTATAGAAATAATTTAGCAAGAACTGTGTGATAAAGAGATTCCTTCAGCCGCGCGCAATAGACTCGCATGCACTCGTTCCCACATACGTTTGCAACGCTCTGCTCGACGAAGTTGTAAACAGGCGTAAGCATGAAACAAGTCGTTGAGTTCAGACTCGTGGACAGACTCAAAATGCAAAGTCTCCCGAAGCACGTCCACGCAGGCGGAAGCGACCTGAAAATCCAGAAGAGTTGGAATGGTTCAAATGTGGTTGGTTTGATGAAGTATGAGAAGACTAAAACCAGTCGAGCATACAGCCTAGTTGTAATAACTATTTAACTGAAACTACAGCTCCCAACGATGAACAAAAGCCGTTGTTTGTTTTTTTTACTCAATCATTTTTATGAATACTCAAAACCAAGACAGTGACTGATCTTTTGTTTGGATAGATTACGAACAGTGATGCTTATCAGGTTTAGTAACGACGCGTTGACTTTCCCTGAGTTACATGAGTGACACATACAGAGACATCAACCCAGGTAGATCTAATCAACCAAGTAAGATAAAATTCGAGCAATCGTTACATTTTTCAACTAAGCAGAGAGGACAAGTCCAGTACAGTGAGACGAATGGGCTGTTTCAGCATTCAACACCACTCATATGGACGGTGGTTGGCAAGTAACCCGTACTACAGTTACTGTGTTCAAACCGCATTGAGACCGCATCACTCAATATCTTCGACGGCTTTTAATTGATGAGAACACAATGTTTAATTTGATATGATTATTATCAATGGCTGTTATTTGCAGGGCAGAATCTCGGAAAAGGATAGCAGAGAACCGTTTGTCATTTAGCCGGTTGCATAGCCCGTACTAAACAAACCTAAGACGACATGTTATCAAGTGTACAAAACTCCGGTAACTTTTTAATTGGACTAATCTACGATCTCAATGCGATATCCGTCAAATGCCCAACGCAAGTTGCAGGAGGTTTTGATGTGCGGATCGGAAACAAAACAATCATAGCGACTGAACCACCCAAGTCCTCGAGACACAAAAGAAATTCACTTGGCACTAGGTAAGCCAAATCAGGTATCCATAAAGATATTTGGTCTTTATTGAGTGAGATTTTTGGGACATTTGATGTACACTTTTATGATAAACCATCTCGGTGAGAAATTTTCAGTAAAGAATATGATGAGAAAAAAGTTGACTCGATAAGTGCCTAACTTGGGAAAGGTATACAATCTTCAACCAGTGGGTCTAGAAGATCCGGCGAATTGATAGCTAAAAACTAGGCACTGTCACTTATTGTCACCGCACATTTCCTCATCTTTCACATTTACTTAATTTCATCACTTTCAGACTTCGCGCACACTTCGTTTGTATTGAATCACTAGTTCCCTCTTATTTTCCCATATGTGTGGATAAAACATAAACAAACACACTTAGAGCACTGCAGCGCTGGTCAAAGACCCGTTTTGTTCTATAATGCAGATCACGTGAAACGTACTGTTCGTATCGATAAACTCGCTACTTATTGTTTACAAGAGTAGTAGAGGATTTGATGCATTTAAATTTGTTTTAATGTTCTTTCTTCCTTTTTATTGATTATTGATTTCATCATACAATGGATTTCGTCGTGAACGGAGCGGAAACTGAAAAGCTGGAACACATTGTACGGCTGTTTTGACCTGATTAGGTTTTATCAGCAATTCGAATTGATCGACCGAACTGGGGATTGAACCGGGACCTCAAGGGTTAACGAAAGTACACTTAACGATCAGGTGATTCATCAGACGATTTCTGATTTTACGCATATCTCCTTCAAAAATAGATCTAATCCCTGTCCACCTTGAATATTACCACTAACCTTGTATGTATTACGAGTTTGGTAGCGATCAGTGAAGTTCGCCTCACTGTATTTCGTGGTACGATGATTATGACGGTATGGTACAAACTATCTTAGCGAGCATAATGCAGGCATCACAACTCGCTCAGTTTAGCACTAGCCTCCAGGGTTGGTTTGGTTGGAAATATTCCACCCGGACCACTTGGTATATGAGAGAAGTTGTGTAACTGATTCGATTATATAGTGGAGCTCGTGCTGTCAATGATAAGTGGACTTAAGTCAGGAAACATTTATTATTTCGTAGGAGTGGCCATTTCTCAGAACTCACTTTGACGTACAATCCTCAGTTCAACTGTACACTTTGCAAGCATTAGACTATTGTTAGAGCACATCCACCGTCCTGTGATGCTCGACCCTTCGCATAGAAGACATGTGTTATTGCGGTGTCAACCGACTCACACAGAGGTCGACCAGAATCATCATTTCAAGCTTATTCACAGGTCGTATCCAATGTCGGTCATTCAGTTCATATTGTCCGACGACAACAACGGGGAACTCAGAACAGTCGCTGTTAACTCTAAGTAAAAACCAGTCGCCAAATCAGCTGTTCTTTATAGGGTTGAGTGCACCACCTCTCTTCCGACTTAGATTTTTAATTCACACACCACTCATAGTTATTTGGGAGACATTATACTGAATAGACCTGATCATCCTTCCAACTTCACCTTCACACCCAATCCCCAGCTGATCCCCATAAGGTCAGAAAACCAAACGGACAGTTTCGAGATACGTGTCGGAAAAGCCAATGGGTTCAGTTTAGTCGTCCTAGTTAGACGATGAGACTTCAACCACAGTTTGTTAACCATTTGTATATAACCCCCATCCAAGAGGGTCGGTGGGGAAATCATCATTCTGGACAAGTAGAATTACCTAATACTCTCCAGTTAGCTGTACTTAAAGGAAATCTCTATGGAATATTTTCACAGAGAAAGTGGATATTACGAGATTAGAAACGATTAGCAGTAAGTGTTATGCGGTTTTTCCTCATACCATCTGAGAGCTGCAGAAAAAAAAACGAATGAATCAAGGACGCCTGAGTGAACGTTGATACATCACGTTTTTCATTACCACAGTTTATTAGTCATTCTCCATCTTCTCATATCCGGCCGGAATGTGCCCGAACTGCGCACCGTCACAACTGTATTACATCTCACTACCGTGGATTGCCATCGAAATGTAGATGTTCCATAATGTGGTTAGGTATGGTGTTGCTCACTATTAACCTTACTTGTTTCTCGTGACCCGTGGATTGCTGTGAAGGAGAGACAGGAAACTAATAAGCACCGGAAGGACATTAGGATGACTGGAATATTCTTCGGTGACCTGTTGAAGATCTTCCTATAGTTCCATGCGATTTCCTCACTAACACTATCGTGAGGTACTACTCACATTTGTGAGTAGCAGGTAACATAGCTGGTGATTTATATCAACGATCAAAAATCAACAAGATCACCGAGGGCAAATTGCTATATCTCAAATAATAACTATCGATTGCTACATTCATTACCCGCTGTACGGCCAGGAACTGAGATGGTATGTTTCTGATGAGATTTCCGTGTTAAGTGTGCCAAATTAGTGATGTCCCATCTGTAATCCTCAATAAACAACTATCCTCGACCGAGCACCGCCTTTTGGAATTATAACAATATCACACCAGATAGAAGGACACCAAGAATGCTACGAATGCTACAGATAAAGGAATGTCAAGTCGAAGAGGCACACTTTGTCATACAATTGCTATTCGCTTAGATATTGAACAACAGACTTTTTGATTGGAGTCGTCTTCGGTCGCTTTCTCAGTTCATTACAACTGTTGTGGTTTAAAGGTGTCACCACCACCTTTGGTATGAGTCTCACTGCCTCGGACTTCCTATAGATGATAGTGAAACAAACAAAAGACATCTCGATATGCGTCGTGTATTAAACGGTTAATGTGTGCCGGGTATCATTTCGCACGTCAGCTATCGATCGAACGTCCACGAACAGATTGCAAAGTTCAGTGAGCCAAAGAATACCAAACACGTTCCAGGCTTGCAATCAATCGAATTGTAGTTCGCAATGGTAGACCGTTGTTCGAACAGTGAGCATCAAAGGGTGATCTAAATACCAGACTTCATTATACTCTGAGGGGTAAAACTTTCTCAAAAAATTGCACAAACGAAAACGCGCACGTATCCATATACCATTCAATATAGTAATACCATGAACAGCCCATGCACCACACTGTAAACGGTTTTCAAAGCGCCCGATCATCTCTCATAAATTTCAGAGGAATAAACCATAGATTAATACTCACATTAATTGTGGGTCGCGTTTTTCCATATGAGTTGATTGACAGTCTTTCGGGTCCTGAAACTGTCGTGGTGGAATCAGTAGCTTCTTCGACCTAATTAAACACGATCAATCAATTATAACAACAATCAAGTATGATATATATAACAAGTAATATGTGCCATCGAATCTAAATACTGAAGCAGAGTATGAAGAACAACCGATGGTATATCGTATTACGATGAAAAATAACACAACTGGAGGTGAAAGAAACGGGTTAAAGAGGACTGTTTAGGGGAAAACTGGTTTAAGACCCGGGAGGAGCAAACCATATACGTTCGAAAAGCTATCTGCCGACAAAAAATTGATTATTGGTGGCAGGGTTTGAGATATAGATGGATTCAAAACTACCAATCACCATTACTGAATTCGAAACTGCACAGGCGGCCGTGGTTGTTCTATATGTCAATACTATCAGATATCGTAGTTCCTGTGTCAAGTTGGACTAATTTTACGAGTTTACAGTGGATATTCCTGAGTTAGCAGTGATCACATCGATTCATCAAATTTTAAAGGTCAAATGGCATTCTACAGTTCCTCTATTAAGAAATCTCTCCGTGTCTTCGCGTCTGACGTCCTAATTCCAACATTTGCTCATTCCGTGAGGAATCGCTACAAATGGTTTAGAATGAGGAGCCAAGTTCACGATAAGCGTCGCGATGGTTCGCGGGTTGCTTTGAGGCGACGTTCCATCAACAGAATGACGCTTCGGTCCATTTAATCAAGTACCATTTGCTGGTGGGAAAAAATGGAGCATCTCCAAGATCTGATGGATTAGCAACAGGTACAAACGTTAGAGTCATTTCATTCTAAGAAAGTTGGACACATCCAGACACTGATGAAGATGTCGTTGGATTCAATATATACAAAAGCGATGGGATTGTGAATTTTCGCAACATTTCCCGTAACTTTATTGCCGGCAAGTATGTTGAAGCTTTAGTGACTAGTTGCTCATCCCCTGGTCCAGACTGTCTCCATTCCCTCAAAAACAGAGTCAACGAGTTCACGATTGGTCTGTACCTTTTTCTCTTGAACTTGCCATCAATAAGTGCATCGATGTTCCCTTTAGTTTCAAAACTAGCCCCGTTATCTTACACTGTTCATCATCATTGCACAGCGTAATACAGTGAAGCGAACTTCACTGATCGCCGACAAACTAATATTGCATACAAGGTAAGTGAGAATGTGTGAGGAGGATAGGGATTGGACTTAATTTTAGGGACGGGAAAAGAAAGCGAACCTCTATGGTCAACACACAGAGTACATAGTCCAACTCTGCCTACACACTATTTCAAACATCCTGGTCTGATAAGAAGTGACAGTATGATCGCCATTGCTGTCGGTTCGCGGTCATGACCTTTAGTGTCTCCAACCATGCGGTTTTGGAGTATTTTGAACTCCAACTCCGGAAGAACTCCGGAAGACGAGAGACACCTACTCTGCCTAATCGTTCTGTGCATTTCTTCATGCCTCGTCTCCACGTCATCTGCTGGCCTCCACGCGGCTTTTTCCAGCCTGCAACAGCCACTGCGAATAAGGCGCGCTGCGGTAGGCGACCGTCGGGCATGCGCAAGAATTGTCCTAACCAACGAAGCCTATTGAGCTGTATTCGATGAGCTAGCGAGTTTGTGTTCGATGCATTCCCAAATACCCGACGATTTACACTGTTGAGTAACCTCCTTGATCTTATAGCCAATAGTCAAAGCATTTCCAAATCTGATTCTGTCCAATACCTCGGTGTCACTCTTATCCATAACCTGTCTTTATCTGCTCATGTTGATAGCATTTTTACTGAAGTTCGTAGACTGTCGTTTTATGCATCAAGTCTCCAGAAACTGGCTGTTCCGCATAACCTTATTCTTAAATTTGTGGTCGTATGCATCCTTTCACATTGGTTACACTGCTAACTTGTAGTTGGCCCTGGTTTAGGAGAAACTTTTGTCCGGATAGAATGGAACGGATAAAACCGTTTTGGTTGAGATTTTTTTGTTTTAATGTACTGACCGGATAATATATGACCAGCAGCACTGTTTGCATCAAAAAATCATATAGACTGCTTCAAATCCCGAAACCCGCTCCAAATATCAATGCCTCTCTGTACTCACACTCAAACAAAGCGGCATTTCGTACCTGCCCCATCTCTTATTTAATCAGTTATCATACCTTCTATAGTAAAAACTGCTGGAATCAAATGTTTTCTTGCATCACCGCATCGAATTTATTTATGTTCTTACCGTTACATAGATGTACACATTATACAAGTTCGTAAACTGTTAATCGTTCGTCTTTTGGGTGTATAAAGCGTTTCTTGACTTGATTTGACTAGACTAGTGAAAATGGTCTATGGCGATTGAGAACTAACCGTTTTGAGCGGGGTACGGTTGGAGCGATCCCGGTTGTTTGGGTTGGACTGAATCGCGCGATAAGATTCGTGCATTTCCTCCAAACTGTCCGCATAGTGAGCCAGAAAGTCATACTTTTCCACAAGTTCAGCTTCCTCTTCTTCTCCAGGATCCATCAACGAGGAAAAACTATCCAATTCGTGACCGGCTATCTGAATGACAAAAATCAATTGTGAAATTCATACAAATATGGATAGTACCAGTACACGGTCAGATATGAAACAATTTAGTCGCACAGTAAAGAGAGCTTGAAATACATCAAAATATTGTTTCAAACAACACGAGAGCATCAAAGTGTAAAACTAACAAGTGTATGAGCCAGACATTGAGGGGAATGCTTCTCTGTGCGTAGTTAATTGACCAAATGCAAGTTTACTTTAACCCTTGTCAACCTTTTTCGGTTCGCTAGTTCTACACCCATGTTGCATTGTGTGCGTTTGGTTCACTAAACTAATCTAAATTTTTGAGGGATTGATAAGCATTTCTCCTGTGAGTAAAGCCTTTCACAATCTCAACGTAAGACTTCAGTCTGTCCAGCAACCATTTGAACTACTGTGGATCATTTGAATTCAACAGCATCGTACATCAAACAAGAGTGATCAATGGCCAACTCACAACATACACAAAGTAATAATGGAGGCGTAAGGCCGATGGGGAGCGTACCCGTTCTGAGGGAACTGTTGTATGATCACACACAGTATAATGCCCAGCTGTACATACAAACCCCTTCAATCACTTTGATGGGATAAAAATGAAACCAAGAAAGCCACTGTTATCAGTTCGTTGCAATGTTCTTCAGTGTCTCCAATCAACCAATTACGGAATCTTTTAGACCCCAGTCAGGAAGGCGAAGGACATCGATACTACCTAATCGCTCTGTGCATCTATCCGTGCTTTGTCTCCACGTCATCTGTTGGTAATCAATGTGATTCTATAGAACACAGAGTGGCAAGTGAATACAAGGTGCGGTGCGGAAGACAGCTGTTAGGCATGCACAACGTGTATTTTAACCAGCGAAGCCTGTTGAGCTAAATTCGACGAACGAGGGAATTTTTCACCGGTGCGTTTCTAACTATGCGACTGCCCACCTCAGGGTCTCTAACTTGTATTCTACCTGTTCTATGTAAGCATGGACTGTTGAAAACCTCCAGTCGACGGACGTCCTCTAATAACAAATTTAAGGTCTCGCAACTGCAAAGCAGAACTGGCCGAACAGTGACAAAATATACGCGACCTTTCGACTTCAGCCCCGCGTAAGCTGATCAAACCTTGGAAATTTGTGTGGCTTCTAGGAAAACCAAACCAAACGAAATACGGTGCTACGGCTAGGTGGGAAAGTTGTACAATTTTACCGTACGATCGTAGTGTAGTAGTTTTTAACAAACGGTTTTCCCTTTATTACTATACAGCAAAATACAGTGAGGCGAACTTTACTGAACGCTGCCCAGCTCAAGTTATACACATTATTTGTGAGAATGTGTAAGGTATTAATGGAGAGTGTCTGTTTCGAGAAAGCGGAAAAAAGTAGGTACTTATGGTAAACACAGCACAGCCTAAATATGCGTGTACTTCTTTTCAAGTATTCTGTCTTGATAAAAACGGCTCTAAGGACGGCAACCAACCAATCCAAACAATTAGTCAAAGATCTTCATTCCAGTCAATAGGCAGTTTTACAATAAACTGTATAAAGGAAAAAGCTATTAACCCAAGACTACAATAATATGGAGAGTATGAAGAGCATGAAGAGCATAATTATTTAAACGATGGCGGACGGATAGGAGCACACGATCAACAAACCGAGGCAATGATGACCGTTTTGGAATTAAAAACCTTCTAAGTTATAATTAATCTCAGTAAATGCTTCCCGATCACTGAATTGGATTTTAAAGGAAAATCGATATGCGCCACCAACTATCGTATACTAAACAGTATTCGCAGAAAAGTAACAACAAGATTCAACCAATGCAATTTGCGGGCATTATACAGCCTCTTGGATGTTCAACTTCAGTTATTGAGTTCGGTAATTGTTGACTTGTTAGTCTTTCACTTATTGATTGAACACAATCAAACAATTAATGTACATAAGTGTTAGGAATTTTCGGCTACTCAAGGGCGTCAATAATAATAATCTATTTTTTATTTAAGACTCGCGAGGAGAAAGTAAATTAAATGTTGTTAATCATACAAACAGATAATAGCCACATCAAATCGATATCGTAATTCCGAAGACGACAATTAATTCACGAACATGAGCTATTGTGTAATCCTACAATTCATAACCAGTGCTCAGTGGAAATACACTGGAAGAGATTAATTATCCACATAACCATGGCAGGTGGGATGAGAATAGCACACGGAGGAATTACTCTCATTCCTCTGGAGGTTCTTGAACTAACCACCGTTAAATGAACAATTTTTCTGTGCTGCGTCCCCACGGACAAGCCGTTGTCCTAAATCGACCTGCAGATTGAGTTGATTAAGAGATGAGGTGAAATGGTATCATGATCATGCAAAATGCCCTGAATTTAAACAGAACAGTACGAGCACTTACTTGGAATGCATCCGCAACAACCATGGACTTGGCTTCATAGGGACACCATTGGCACAAGGCTTCGGCATAGTTCTTGTGCAATCGATGGACATATGTACACCGTTTAAGCAATCGGTGTTTTGCAGCGCACAAGTGTTGATACGCAACTCTTATAGAAGCAGCTCTGTTAGTCAGTAGTTGTGAGTTAATCGAAGATAATTTGGCCGGCGGGACAAACTCGGCTGGTTGAACCGAAAATCGGGTATCGACAACACACCGATCATCATCGACAGAGGTGGGGAAGCTTTCAACCGTACCAGATATCTGGCATAAGGTAGTGAAAAATGAAACGTGCCGATTGAAAGCAGACGAATTTGTCGGGGAAGATGAAATCTTATATGAACATCAATATAGTCAAATCACGAACGATAAAAACTTGTCCGCTGGGAGGAGGTCGATTCAAGACAGCCACTCTCAGTGATTACTACCTGTGGATAAGGACTAAGCTTGGTTACGAGTTAAATTCTCTTTACGCCTAGCAAACAACCACAATAACGCCACCGGAAACGGATACCCACAACACAAAGACAGCGATAGTTGGCCTTCGAAGTGGAGCTCTCCGATTGCCTATCAACTCAACCACCAGGCCGAAGGACTCAATGGACACTGGAAGCAAATCAAAGAAACCATGCAAATATCGATAAAAACAACGGCGGATTCACAGGCTCAAAACAAACGATAAATCTCGTCGACCTCGGCTGCCCTACTGAGGCCACATATGACAGTGCGCAAATCCCTTAAACACCAGCTCATCAAGAGGCTGAGAAATGACCGAGATAATTGGTGGGTAGGAGTGTTGAGAGATGGAGAAAGCTGCGGCTATTGAGCAACCTGGCAGTATTCCGCCCACATGCAACTCATGGAACGTTTTTCTTTTTGTTAAGATTCTTTTACCATGATTTGCTTGGCACAGTTTGTCCTCAGACAAGTGTGAAATGTAATATAATAATACTGAAGTCTCCAGCGATTGCCACGATGTCCGTTGACCGAACACTTTGGAGCAGTTCAGAGGTCTTTATAGAATTCATCCTTCACTTCTGGCATACTGTAATCAGTTGGTGCATAGGCAGATAGGACGAACAAACATCGACGCTTTGTTCTGTAGCTGTTGATCCGTACTGAACCATCCAGACGTACAGCGCAAAGTCGGCTGCTAACTGGGACCCAGTCGAGAAGTGAACGCTCGGCCTTGACACTCAGCATAATTCCAACACCAGCGACACTGCGAACTTCGGATAACGACACACGGAGAATGAAGCGTGAGGATGAGGTTGGATCTGGAGAACTGAGGGAGATTATTGAAGTAGGACCTTGTTTGCATGTCTCGGAGACACAGCACGTATCTAAATGGAAGGCTTCAAGGGTTCTATCTAAGGCAGCTTGTTGACCGATCTGGTAGAGTATGCGGACATTGAGTGCAGCTAAGTGAAAAGGGGATTTTGGTTTAAAAAAGCTGATAGCCTCTAAGTGGTTGACCTTATCAGTTGAACGCTGAGTGATATCCGATGGGTCTCGTAAACAGGAGGCACCTGGGATTATGTAGAATTGAGAAGAACTAGAAAGATGGGAAAGATGGTTTTCTAAATGGGTGCCTAAGATTTTGGAGCACGGCATAATTCGTGGTAGCCCACACCGACGAAAAGAGTTTTCTTTGGGAACCCTAAACGGAACCTTTGACTCAAAAGTCTGACCCGCAAGGCAGTGGGGCATAAATCCAACGCGGGAGCGTGAACGGAGCACCAGTGTGGGAGCTTCTGGAGACCTGTCACACAAGGTCTTCGGGTTTCGGTTGTGTTGTTTGTTGGGGAGGGGCGATTATCGGTTCGTTTTTCGGGATCCGCCCTTAGCCTCATACACCCAATGAGACTAGTGAAAAGTGGACAGGACAGCACCTTATTGGCTGGGAGCTGCTTAGCTTAGGCGGGCGGTAGCTGTCCAAAGAAGTGCGAAGACTTCTACCATCGTCGAGAGGAAGCCCCAAATCTCCTGCTCCTAAGTTCATCTAGCGGAAGTTTTTTAACCGGTAAACTGCTCCTCACCGTGTTTATTTGCTGGAGTGACTTCTCCAGGGGAGGATGTGGATAGACGAAGGAAGCCAGGAAGTGCCCAAGCAGCTGGGTTTGTAATACCGAGCTTCATCTGGCCTCTACCCGTTGACTTTTCAGGCATGATTGGATCTACGGCTGTGAAAAGCGATCTTATGTAGCTCGCAGGCTCATGGAGGCACTCAAGCCATCACATCACGTCAAGATGCAGTCTCGTCGTGGAGTGGGTGTCTGGAGTTGCGGCTGGTCACCCTTCCTGTGCACCTCGCGAAATGCCCCCATACGACCAAGCGTCTCGAATAGCCTATGATGAGGAAGCCCTAACCATTATCAGTTCAGTTCTGTTCTGTTCTTATAACTATTAACCATGCACTATCTTGCGCCGGTTTTGGTTGCCTATTTGGATAAAACAGCAGAATGACGATTGGAATGTTGACAGCAGATCCAAGAGGAAGATAGCGCATTTACATAGACTGAAGTTATAAGCATGATGAGTAGATGCATGAGCCAGTGTAGCCATATTCGGTATTCGTTTTGCACCTTCAAAGTGTAAAATGTTGCCACAAGACTGGGTTGGTCCAGCACCCAACCTCACTTTT